CTCCTCCTCCTCCTCCTCCTCCTCCTCCTCCTCCTCCTCGTCCTGCTCAGGAGAGGCACAGCAGGGTCTACCAGACGCTGCGGGGCGACACCGAGAGGCTGGACAGGCGCCCGCCCGCCGGGGCGCGGGCGGCCGAGCCGGAGCGTGGTCTGCGCGTCTTCTCCTCCGACGTGTTGAGGCCCCCCCCCTCCTGCTATTCCCTGCTCTCCCTCCCCCGCCTCCTCTTCTTCCCTTTTATTGTTGTTGCTGTTGTTGCTGTTGTTGTTGTTGTTGTTGTTGGTGGTGGTGGTGGTGGTGGTGGTGTTGTTGGTGTTGTTGTTGTTGTTGCTGCTGCTGCTGCTGCTGCTGTTGTTGTTGTTATTGTTGTTGCTGTTGTTGTTGTTGTTGTTGTTGTTGTTGTTGTTGTTGTTGTTGTTGTTGTTGTTGTTGTTGTTGTTGTTGTTGTTGTGTGTGTGTGTGTGTGTGTGTGTGTGTGTGTGTGTGTGTCGGCAGGCCGCTGGGACCTCTTGGCGCCCTACTCACCCTTGTCCTGGTCCTCCTCCCTATCTTTCCACCTCTTCTCCTCCTCCCTCCGTCCCTCTTTTTTTTGTTTTTTGTTTTTCTCTCTCTCTTTCTCTATATATTTTTCTCTTTTTTCCTATCAGTCTCTATTTGTAGATCCCTCTCTCATGTTTTTTTGTTTTTTTTTTTTTTTTTTTTTTTCTCTCTCTCTCTCTCTCTCTATATATATATATATATCATATATATAGGGTGCCTTCCCGTCCCCGCCGCCCGCTCAAAACTAAATTCCCCAAGCAGTGCTTGCCTTCAGTCAGTGGCTCTTACATGGTCTACTAGGAACTGGGCCAGGGTGTCAGTCCGGCCAGCTTGTGGTCGCCGTCGCCGCCCGTCGCCGCCGCCCGTCGCCGCTGCTTCTGTGCCTGGGTGTCGGTCGCTGTGCTTGTTGTCGCCGTCGCCGCCCGTCGCCGCTGTCCGTTGCCGCTGTCCGTTGCCACTCCACTGCGCCTGAGTGTCGGTCACCGCGCTTGTTGTCGCCGTCGCCGCCAGTCGCCGCATTAACGCCGCCCGTCGCCGCGCGTTGCCGCTGCCCCGGTGCCCCCCCCCGCGCAGCATTGCCATCGATTGCAATTTATTTCCGTTGTAGAAATAATCTGGATCTGCCACTCCCCCGAAGCAGGGATTATCGACACCCCCTGGGCATGTGCAGTTTACACGTGATTCTGCCCCATGTTCGTTCTAAATGATAACTCACACTATCCCAGCCAAGCCTGGTTCGACCCCCCCCCCAACCATCCTCTGCAAACAGCACTGTGCGAACATATGATAAACATTGTCAATTTTCAAAAATGCCTAGCAACACAGTGACGGAGTGCACACGCGCGCGTCGTCGCGCGCGTATGCCGAAATCTTTCGAACTCCGAAGGTTTCGTAAGGATTTCAAAACCCAGTGTACCGAGTCACGTAGAACATTGTTTTGCAACCCGATTTTGTTCAAAAGATATGCGCGCGCGCTCTTGCGACTCATTCAGAACATCAGAAGGTTTTCACAATTTTCATCACATGCGACCAAACGGGCCTGTCGCGCGCACATGTCGAAATCATTCGAACGCCCTTGCGCGCGGGCTGGGGGGGGGCACGATGCCTGTCAATAACACCGTGCGGGCCACACGCGCCCGTCGGCCGCGCGTGCATGTCGAACTTCTTCTGTTATCATCATCGTGTCTGCCGTATTCGACGTCGCCGTGATACTGCGCCCGCCCGAGTCACCGACTCGCACTGAGGTGCCCGCGCGTCTGCGCCATCGCGGCGCACTGAAGTGCCGACTCGCACTGAAGTGCCGACTCGCACTGAAGTGCCGGCTCGCACTGCGGGACGCGCTGGGAAGTGTCCAGCGGTCAGCTCCACCGCGGCCGCGTCGGTCGCGCCAGACTAGTTGGCCGCTCTGCGCGCGAACCCGCGCGCACCATGGCGGCCGCAGCAATGCGCCAGCCAGCGCCACGCAATCGTGGCAAGTCGCCGCCGCATGAGTCTTGCAAACCAACTTGGGGGTGGGTGGGTGGGATGATTGCGGAAGCACTGAAGTTGACAACTTCAAGTTCGGCAGGGTGAAGTGCACCACGCAGAGTGCACCACAAAGCTCGCACCACATATATTAACCTCATCTATTGCACTACATAGCTTCCACCACGTAGCACGACTTAGCCAACACCACGTAAGCCACAACACATGTATTGCACCACGTAGCTTGCATCACGTGTTACTGCACCGCGTAGCTTACACCACGCGTTTTGATTAATATGGGTGTTACCACATACCTTACACGACACATCTAGCATCACATGCGTTGCACCATATGCACCTACGTGTAGACCTTACACACATAGCTTACACACCACATACATTGCTTGACATAAATTGTACCGCGTAGCATCACACATAGAGTGCACCGCATTGATTGCATCACATAGGATGCATGCACCACATAGCTTGTACACCGCATAGCTTGCTAGCTCACACCCATATGTCCGATCACTAGTACTGCACCACATACATTATGGCACATAGATGAGTACGTTTGTCCCGCATAGTTTGCACCACATAGCTGACACCACGCATCTTGCATAGCATACAGTGCGTTATTTGGATTGCGCACCACATCGATTGCAACACGTAGCTTGGACCACATAGAATGCACCGCGCAGACGGCAGCACTTTGCTGACACCACACAGATTGCACCACACAGCTTGCACAAACGCTGCACCGCGTAGCTGCTGGACAACACTGTTTGGGGTCTACGCTGGCTACCAGTGTCTTTCTTAGGTGATCGCCGGTTGGGTGAAGACTGAGTCGCCACGCTTGGGGAGCGCCGGCGCGACGATGGGATACGAAAAGCTGCTCGCCGGTACGCGCCGAGGTGTGCTTTGGCGCCTGCTGGCGCGGGGGCGCCGTCGGCAGGGGTGGGCCTGGCCCCTGGTTCCTGGCTGCTTGACTCCCAGACCGGATTGGGGGCGACGATCATCAGGAGGGGAAAAAACACACAGACACAATTATTCGTCGATTCCCATGAAAATATGGGAAGATATGGGAAGTGGGGGCGAAGACAAAAACTAAGAAAATATGGGACAATATGGGGAACCATTTTATTTGTGTGTCGGAGGTGAGGGGGTGAGATCGAAGTGGAACGGAGAGCCCCCCTACCGGGAAATCGATTTCGGTTTCGTGTTCGTGCGTGCCGTGCGTGCGGGCGAGGCGAAGCTGCGTGGGCGGGCGAGAGGGAAGTCTGCTGTGGCTGAGGCGCGGCCGGACCAAATGATTCTCCACCGGGCGGCCGGTGGCGCGCGGTGTCCCGCCGGTGTCCCGGTGGTGTCCTGTGTGGCTGAGGCGCGGCCGGACCAAATGATTCTCCACCGGGCGGCCGGTGGCGCGCGGTGTCCCGCCGGTGTCCCGCCGGTGTCCCGTCGGTGTCCCGTCGGTGTCCCGATCATGATGTTGATGATGATGATGATGATGATGATGATGATGATGATGGTGATGATGATGATGATGATGATGATGATGATGATGATGATGATGGTAATGATGATGATGATGTTGATGATGGCTATGATGATGATGATGATGATGATGATGATGATGATGATGATGTTGATGTTGATGTTGATGATGATGATGATGATGATGACGTCGATTGCGAGATCGATTGTGATATCGGTAGTGAGACCGAATGTGAGATCGATTGTGAGATCGATAGTGAGATCGATTGTGAGATCGATAGTCAGATCGATTGTGAGATGATGATGGTGATGATGGTGATGATGGTGATGATGATGATGGTGTGATGATGATGATGACGTTGATGATGTTGATGAAGATGGTGTCCCGATGACGAGGATGTTGATGATGATGTTGATGATGGTGATGATGATGATGTTGATGATGATGATGGTGTCCCGATGATGATGATGATGATGATGATGATGATGATGATGATGATGATGATGATGATGCTGATGATGATGATAATGACGTTGATGATGATGACGTCGATGATGATGATGATGATGATGATGATGATGATGATGGTGTCCCGATGTGAGACCGAATGTGAGACCGAATGTGAGACCGAATGTGAGACCGAATGTGAGATCGATAGCGAGATCGATTGAGTGAGACGTTGGTTCCCCCTCCCCCCTCACCTCCTTATCACCCGCAGGGTGGTCGTATAGGTATTTATTTGTGTGTCCCAGGGCCCCTTCAGATAAGGGCGAACAGCCCAGGGGCGGACATTACCTACACGCATTCTCCCGGAAGCCTCGCCGAAGGCATGGGCCATCGGCGCTCCTGGATACATGTGCTGCTTTGCCCTTGTGCTGCAGTGGGGCCCATGCTAAGAAGCACCCTGCTTGCCTCCAGGGTGCCCTGGGAGTCTTGGGTTCCGATGGTTTTGCTGTGGAAGGCGTGACGCTCCCACACCAAAAACCAACGAACGTCCTAGGGTCTCAGGGTCGGGTTTCTTGTGGAAGGCTTCTTGTGGTCGAGCCCCTACTGTAGTAGCCTCCCGAACGGTAGGTTCGCGTCGTGTCGACCTGCTGCGACCCTAGCGCAGGCGTTTAGGATTGAACGCGGCCCGTGGCCCAGAGTCGGCCCATCGTTGAACGATGCGGCGTTTCTGAAACGGCCGATCGTTCAATTTTGAACGATTTCCGCGGTGTCAGGAACCAGCGCCAAAATCGGCACGATCCGAACCTGCCGTACACCCACGCTGCGCGGGGACAATCTTTTTGCAATTCACGCCCCTGCCATCGCAGAAGACACCCCTTTCCAGGGAGTTGTCTAGGAGGGAGTAGGCACGTCCCAGTCTGGTACATGAGGGATCTGCGGATACTGGATATAGAGATAGGCAGAGTGAGTTTCGGCGAGCCAGCAGGGCATGCTCATTGTGCAGCAAGAGGGGCAACGGAAGCCACAGATGGCGGAGAAGGCATGCCCGGAGCGCCAGGCTAGCAGCCTCCACGGTCGCGTACCTCACCGCTGGATACGCTCCCCACTCAGTCGCCTGGCGAGATCGGCAGGGGGAGCAGGAGGAGGAGGAGGAGGAGGAGGAGGAGGAGGAGGAGGAGGAGGAGGAGGAGGAGAGGAGGAGGAGGAGGGGCGGAAGAGGAGGAGGAGGAGGAGGAGGAGGAAGAGGAGGAGGGGGAGGAGGAGGAGGAGGAGGAGGAGGAGGAGGAGGAGGGCGAGGGCGCCAGCAGCAGCAGAAGCAGCCGAGCCTTCCGAAGCTCGAAGCTTGAAAGAGGAAGAGGTGGAGGAGGAGTAGGAGGAATACGAGAGGAGGAGCAGGATAATGAGGACCAGGATGAGAACGAGAATGAACGGGAGAGGATGAGAAGTAGGAACGGAAGAGAAGACAGAACAGGAGGATCAGAAGGAACGGGAGGAACAGGAAGATGAGGAGGACGAGGAGGCAGAGGATGATGATGATGATGATGATGATGATGATGATGATGATGATGCTGCTGATGATGATGACAATGACGAGGAGGAGGAGGATGAGGATGATGGTGATGATGATGTTGTTGATGATGATGATGATGAAGATGATGATGATGATGATGATGCTAATGATGATGATGCTGATGATGATGATGATGCTGATGATGCTGTTGATGATGATGCTGCTGCTGATGATGCGGATGCTGATAATGATGATGATGATCGTGCTGATGATGATGCTGCTGCTGGTGATGATGATGGTGCTGAGGATTATGATGATTATGCTGCTGATGATGATGCTGACGCTGATGCTGGTGCTGATGCTGATGCTGCTGTTGCTGGTGATGATGATGATGATGATGATGATGATGATGATGATGATGATGATGATGATGACGTTGATGATGATGACGATGATGATGATGATGGTGATGATGATGATGATGATGATGATGATGATGATGATGATGATGATGATGATGATGATGATGATGATGATGATGATGCTGATGATTGTGATGCTGCTGGTGAGAAGGAGGAGGAGGAGGAGGAGGAGGAGGAGGAGTAGGAGGAGGAAGAGGAGTAGGAGGAGGAGGATGAATGGATGAGGAGGGCAAGATGTGGAATGAGGGAAGCGGCCATCACCCGCCAAATGGCCGTCACCGCTTTTTCTATCCCCTTCTTCCGTCCCCTTCCCCCTTCCCCTCGCATCCCCTTCCCCTTCCCTCCCTCCTCCTCTCCTCCTTCCTCCTCCTCCTCCTCCTCATTCTCCTCGTCACCGTTTCCGTCCTCCTCCCCGTCCACCTCTTCTTGCTGCTTCTGCTGCTCCTCGTTCTCCCAGGACCTCCTTCTGCTCCCCGTCCTTCCTCTCGTACGCGGCGGGTCCTGCTGCGGCCAAGCCGGTGCGAGTGGCCTCCCACGTCCCTCGCTCGTGCAGTTCTTTTCCAGGGCCCTCCACGTGTCAAGGCCCGACCTTTCAAGGAGGATGGAGGGGAAGAGTGGGCGAAGGGGGACGGGAGGAAGGAGAGGGGAAGAGGGGAAGACGGGGGAAGAGGCGGGGAAGAGGAGGCTCAGGGCGAGAAGGAGGGGGGAGGGGAAGAGGAGGCGGAAGGGGGAGGAGGGGGTTCCAGGATTTCCGCGATCTCAGTGACAAGACAGGCTTGGAGCTCAGCACTTGTGAGGGAGGTCGCGAAAGAAGTTCGAACTGAATGGTCGCGCCTGGTCTTGGCTCAATGGGGAGGGCGCGGCTTTCCTTGACCCCTGAGCTGGGTCTGTCCGAAGAAGCTCCCTAAAGGTTTTCGCCAAACGACTTGTGGGAACCGAGTCAGATAAATCAAGGCAAATGCCGATACATCGAGGAGCAACCAGGTACATCGTGGCACATCCACCCGAATCCAAAGATCTACGGGCAAATTTGGAGCACCTCGTGGCCGCTCCAGCGCGAACCGAGGGACGGCAAAAGTCTTTAAACCCTTCAACGGGAAGTTCGAAGCAGCGGAGGCGGAGGCGGAGAGGGAGGGGGAGGGGGAAGGCTCGAGGAGGAGGAGGAGGATGAGGAGGAGGAGGAGGAGAAGGAGGGAGGAGAAGCATGGAGGAGAAGCATGGAGCAGGAGGGGGAGAAGGAGGGAGCTGGGTTGGTGCGTGCCGCCTCGGCGCGGTGGCGACGTTGGCGCTGCTCCACGCGTTCTGGCTGCGCTGCTCCACGTGTTACGGATCGCTCTTCCGCTCCTCTCCTCCCTTGCCTCCGTGGTTCGCCACGGCCGCCCACCGCGCTCTGGCCCTGCCCGCCTGGCTGCTGCGGCCCCCCCGGCTGCTCATCGTCGAACTCTTCGGCGTCTGAGTGTCCTTTCCTCCTCTCGGCCGTCCCCCCCCCTCCCCCCCTCTTTGCTCGCCGGCCAATTCGCTAGTTTGTGCCCCTGTCTAGCTTTTCGCTGGAGCGGATTTCGCCGCCTCGCCGCTGACGGAAAAATGTTACGGATCACTCTTCCGCGTCTCTCCTCCCCCTCTCTCTCTCCCTTCGGTGTCTGATCCGGGACGTTTTCCGCCCTCGGGGCCTGTCGTCACTTCCGGGATGCTTCGGCTGGGCTTGCGTTCCCTGGGGTCCCATACTGCGTTGAGCTCGATTGCGCCTGCTATTCTTCATCCTGCCGCTCTCGCATCCCTTAGTCCCGACTCGGCGCGTCGTTTCATGGGCTCGCGGCTCCTTCGGTGTCTGATTTGATTGGGTTTTTTGTGTAATAAAAAACCCTTTGGGCCACAACGCGCGTTATGCCCCCTCTCTCCTCCCCCAAAAAACACGTAACGCTCCCCCCCCCCGTCAGTGCGTCCGCGGCACTGTCGCAGTGCGTCCGGCACCACATTCCCCTCCTGTCCCCCCAACATACCGCCCGCTATTGCCGAATTAAACAACGCCCGTTGTGGCCGAATTCAGAATTTCGCGTTTTCGAGCCTGGGTGGACGGACCTTCGCTTCCGAGTTACCTCGAGAGACCCTTACTCTGTCAAGGCGGCGACGCCGGCGCCGGCGTTCGGGGTAGGATGTTTCCCACGGCATGCCGGCCAATTCGCTTTCTAGTGCCACTGCATTGGGGCGGATTGCCCCGCCTCGCCGCCGACGGAAAGCAATTCCCAGGGTCTTCTTTGTCGGGCCGAGGGGCCCACCGAGAGCAGCCGCCGGCTTGGGGCGGGCGGGGTCTCTCTCTCTCTCTCTCTCTCTGTCTCTCTCTCTCTCTCTCTCTCTCTATATATATATATATATATCGGAGGTTGGGGGGTGAGATCGAAGTGGAACGGAGAGGCCCCCTACCGGGAAATCGATTTCGGTTTCGTGTTCGTGCGTGCCGTGCGTGCGGGCGAGGCGAAGCTGCGTGGGCGGGCGAGAGGAAAGTCTCCTGTGGCTGAGGCGCGGCCGGACCAAATGATTCTCCACCGGGGCGCGGGGCCGCGCGGTGTCCCGCCGGTGTCCCGGTGGTGTCCTCTGTGGCTGAGGCGCGGCCGCACCAAATGATTCTCCACCGGGGCGCGGGGCCGCGCGGTGTCCCGCCGGTGTCCCGGTGGTGTCCCGTCGGTGTCCCGTCGGTGTCCCGATGATGATGTTGATGATGATTATGATGATGATGATGATGATGGTGATGATGATGATGGTGATGATCGTGATGATGTTGATGATGGCGATGATGATGATGATGATGATGATGATGATGATGATGATGATGATGATGATGATGATGGTGATGGTGATGGTGATGATGATGGTGATGATGCTGTTGATGATGGCGATGATGATGATGCTGCTGCTGATGATGATGATGATGATGATTATGATGATGATGATGACGACGATGATGATGATTTTGTTGTGTGATGATGATGATGATGATGATGATGATGATGATGATGATGATGATGATGATGATGATGATGATGATGATGATGATGTTGATGTTGATGATGATGATGATGATGATGATGATGATGATGATGATGACGACGTCGATTGTGAGATCGATTGTGATCGGAGGTTGGGGGGTGAGATCGAAGTGGAACGGAGAGCCCCCCTACCGGGAAATCGATTTCGGTTTCGTGTTCGTGCGTGCCGTGCGTGCGGGCGAGGCCCCGTGCACCCACCAGTACAGGCTAGGCTTTGCCAGCCGCTCTCTCCGAGCGCGCCCCGTTCCTTCGGGCGGCCGCGCGGGCTCGCCGCCGCGGCTGGAAGCGAATCGAAAAACTGGTGCGTCTGGGCCCCTGGAGTTGGGCCGTCTACATAAAAAGAGATACGCCGACAGGACGCCGGCGCGGGCCCCTGGGAGGGGTCCCGGTCCCGTTTTGAGATTGGCGCCGAGGTTAGGTCGAGGTTTCCTGGCCCTCGGAGGCCCTGCTCGCCGCCGCGGCTGGAAGCGAATCGAAAAACTGGTGCGTCTGGGCCCCTGGAGTTGGTCCGTCTACATAAAAAGGGATACGCCGACAGGACGCCGCCGCCGTCGCTGTCGCAGCAGTTCTCATCAATTGCATTTGCACCATGTGCAACCCGACAAAGGGAGGGAGAGGAGCCTCAGCAGGCCTCCGAGAAAAAAATCTCCACTGGCATCGTCAGGAGAACAATCACCACTGTTGCCGATTGCTCGGCCCCTCCACCCCCCCCAACCTCCTTATCACCCGCAGGGTGGTCGTATAGGTGTGTGTGTATATATATATATATATATATATCAGAGTGAGGGCGCCGAACGGTCATTCACTGTCCCTGGGTGCGTGGCTGATGTGGAATTCCGCGGTGCGGATTCTCGTTGTTGTTGTTGTTGTTGAACATTATTTATTCTAAAGAATAATTATTGTTGGGACCCCTGGTGCGCGACCCCCTCGCCGCGCCTAGGCCGCAGCTACATTTTCATCATTTTCGTGAGGAAGCCTCAGGTAATACGATGTCATCAAGATCCGGTTGTTTTGTTCCCCCCCGCTGTCCCTTGCAAAAAACACTATAAAATGAAATTTCTTGTTCTAAAATAACCAAACTTCAAGAATCCCTTGCAAAAAATAAGGTAAAGTGGACATTC